CCTCAGCAAAAAATCCAACAGTTCAAAAATAACGTTCCTCAACAAGCAATTGCAAGGATTCTAGGTATTTCACCCACTACAGTGCATAGTATCATCAAAAGGTTCAGGAAAGCTGGGGCAAGACTGAAAACCGCAACTGAATTCCCAAAGCTTTCAATCCCTCAGATGGCACTGCATTAAAAGCTGGCATGCTTCTTTGTGCACCACATGTGCTCGAATGTACTTTGACAAACCATTGTCAGTAAACACCGTCGATCACTGCATCCACAAATACAAGATAAGACTGTACTATCGGACTGTCAAAAACAGCACATATGTCAAAAATGTCCAGAAACACCGCCGACTTCTCTGGTCTCGAACTGAAATGGATTGCACTCACTGATGCACAGTGGAAATGTGTACTGTGGTCAACCTTTTGGATTGTTTATGGAAATAATAGATGTTCTTTGGGCCAAAGAAGAAAAGCACCATCCAGATTGTTACCAGCATAAAGTTCAAAAGCCAGTGTCTGTCATAGTATTAGGGTGCATTAGTGGGAAACTTGCACATCTGTGAAGCACATTAATGCTGAACATATATTGCAGCAACACACGCTGCCTTCTAGATTCTGTCTTTTTCAGGGACGTCCATACTTATTTCAATATAACAACACTAAACCATAATCAGAGAGTGCAGGTGCTAGACTGACCTGCCTGCAGTCCAGAGCTGTTTCCCTTTGAAAACATGTGGCGCATTATTAAGCTCAAAATATGACAACAAAGGCTGGGGCTGCACAACTGAAGACTTGCTTAACAGCCCTGCAGTCCCCAAATGATTACTGAACATTGTTCAAATGAATGGTGATGTAACACAGTGGTAAACATGCAGGAATTTGGAGGTGGGTTTTAGAGGGGGCGTAGCCTTGTTTGGGGTGGATTTTGTATAACAAGTTGTCCTCAGACATTACAAATCACATCTGGCACCGCAAGACTGTGTAGGAGAGAGTAATACTGAAAGAGTGGAAAATATAAGAGAGAGAATATATGAGAGAGAGAGAGAGAAAGAGAGAGAGAGCATTAAACGAAATGGATATGCCAGGAAAACACTGCAGGACGTCCTTAGGGAGGAAGGAGAGAGACCACCCCCCTCCCGGTCGTAATGGCAGCCAAGCACTTATGCTGAGATGCATTTTTGGAAATCATACACGCACTTTCATACATTGATGTGTGCATACGGTCAGCATATCGAGCATTTATACTGGGTCGGCCTCTAGAGTCCATCGACAGAATGAAGAAAACTGTGTACACGTGATAAATGTACACACTCACCACAGCCCTGCAGGAAGCGGCCTGCTGAACTGCATCATGGCTCACTTCGACCGACCGGTTACAGCGGTCATTACATGTCACTGAAAGTGATATGTTAAAGCAATAGTCTGGAAAATTTGCACCATTTTCTCCTTTGCCCAAATGTAGTCAGCGAGCCAAGGCATGTTTGCTGTCTGAAGTTTCTTTCTTAGGTTTTGCAGTGGAGCTATGAGGCTAATTTAGCTCACAAGTAACTGAAGTGTTAAGGAGAGCTACTTTCTATTCACCCCATTTTAGCCAAATCACTAGAGCAGGGATGTCCAATATTAAAAGGGCCAGAGTGGCTGCAGGTTTGAATTCCAAAGCAGCAGCACAGCTCATATAACTTCTCAGCAGGCACAGATCATCCAAAGGGTTTTATGGGTGCGGGCCCAGGGGCCCGAGCCAATAGGGGGCCCCCATGTGCAAAGAGAAAAGCGAAACAGCTGTTTTGACTTGTGGTGGGAACTTTAATATCAGAAAAGCACAAAAAAACGAATTAGTCATTGTATTATGGCGAGTATTAATCCTGGTGCTCTCCACTTTTTTTAAATGACCGCTTCATTTTGTCCACCGATCACTAGAGGACGTGCATGTGTGTGTCTTTATTGAATGGGGGTGAAAAAAGGTAATTAAATATTTTTCTAATCTTTCACTCAGAAATTTCATTTTATTTTGGAAAGTAGAAGAATTACTGCAACGGAGTCCTAATTGTTTGGTGACAACCAGCTCACTGGTTTTATATCGCTGTTGTCGGAGGAAACCTTGTATCTCCAAAATGGTAACTTTACAGGAAAAGGAAAAAACCTACTTTACTTCAATGTAAGTCAATGGAACCAGACTTTTTCCCAAGTCATTTTGGGGCCGTTTCTTTTGTCCATTCATGATTAAATTTACATATAATGTAAAGGTGAACAGATATTTTCAAATTATGCCAAAACTGAAAAACGATAATAATGGAGATACGAGGTTTTCTCCCGACAGCAGCGATGTAGCAGTTTGCAGTTCTCTCACTGAGGATGAGAAATGTTACTGCAACGTTTAAATATTTTATGCTGTTCTTGGTTGAGAAATCCAGTGCATTTGTCTGTATGAAAAGGATTGAGCTTTTAAATATTACAATTTTGTACAAAAGCTCACTAGAAACCCATTCGTTCATTCACCCTCTAGTGTCTGACCAACTGAGAAGAATCAGAAGCTTTATTCACCAAGTAGCAAGGAATTTCTCTTGGTACAGATGTTAATATAAATTCAAATGAATAGAAAAGGCTTTACTATACATAAAAAACATAAAATAGACAGTGCAGAAACAAAAATCTGCAAATAATAGAAAGCATGTGCAATGGGAGATTAGTACAGAAGTACATATATACACTATGTACAGCTGAAAGAACTGAGCAGCAATTATAAATATAAATGTACATGTAAACATATTTAGAAAATATGTATATTGCAAGTTAAAGTGCCCATGGAAAGTGGAAGAGGCTCTTATTCAGAATGAATATGGGATATACAGTGGTTGTGTACATTACAGTGTGTGGGATTAAAGTGCGTGTGCAGCTGTTTAAAGCAGAGGAGTGTGAGAAGTGTTCTTGTCTAGGAGGATGAAGGCCTGGGCAAAGAAGTGACTTTAGGGTTCTCCCTCTTGGTCCCTGCTGAGGTTGAAACCACTGAAAGAAAGAATGACCAGATTGTGAGGGGTCAGCAATGACTTTCCCTGCCCTCTTCCTCATCCTAGATGAGTAAAGAAGTAACAAGTAAACGCAATACTATGTGGCACTTCTGCTCACAGGAATTTATGTGGTGCATTCTGATATAAGGAGGCTGAAGGCAGGAGGCCTGGCTGTTGCCCGCTGTGTGTGTGTGTGTGTGTGTGTGTGTTACCAGAGTCTCCGATTGGTATGCAGATACACACTCTAGTGAGCAGTGGGTGTGTGTAGTGATGAATTGTCCACTATTTGGTTTCTTAGCGACATGGCTAGGTTGTTTGTTTGTGTGTGTGTGTGTGTGTGTGTGTGTGTGTGTGTGTGTGAGCCATAAACTTTAAAACAGTCACTATTATCATACTTATCACTGTACTCATTGTATTTTGTATCGTGATAATTATGCATGTTACTTTTTCACTTGAGCAGTTATACCTTAGCATTCAAATCTTTCCATATTTTCATATTATAAATGCCACCACATATCATATGTTTAAGAAAATGCATATTGAACAGAAAATCACACAGATGCCTTAACAACTAAATAAAATATCGGGTTTTCTGCTATTAAGTTTGTCCACCTTTTGCCTGTATTACAGCTTTCTTTTCTCTTTCAGGAGACTTTTCAAAAAAAATCTGCAGGGATATTTTTCAGACTTACAAGTTGTATTTTCTCACGGTCCAAGTAATCCCAAACACATTCAGTGATGTTGAGGTCTGGACTCTGGGGTGGAACGCCAGCAGCTTCTTTGTTTGACATGCAAATTTTCAGTAATGGGCTTTTGACAGCTGTCAGAGCCATTGTGATGAGTCGTCTTCTCACAGTGGAAGGATGGACGCAAACACCTGTGGATTTCGTTCAGATCTGAACCAGCTTGATTTTCTCCTCTCTCTCAAAGATGAAAGCTTTTAGTGCTGTTTATCTGATGGTGACAGTTTTGGTGGTCTGCTTCTGAACAGCTGAACCCCAGCAGGCATTTTTAATACAAACATTCTACTTGGGCATGACTGGGTGCCTTCCTGCCTCAGAATACTGTCTGAGTAGGCAGCATTTATGTTGCTTCAGATACAGCCATTCTTTAATATAAGGGGAGATGGTGATCCTCTGCTGTTTGGCAATAGGGAAAAGCATAACAACCAGTTGGGCCAGTCAAATCAGGCCTCGTAAGTTGTAAACCAATCATATCAGACCTTGACGTCAACGTTTTAATTTCTTGTCGAAAAGCACCTTTTTCTTTGCTAGAATGATAATTTACAGTCATATGCAGAAGTTTGGACACCTCTGGTCAAATGACATGTTTTGATTTTCTAAGGCTACGTTCATATTACCAGGTTGAAGTGGCACAAATCCCAGTTTTTGCCCTGATGTGACTCAGATCTGATGTTTTCAGGGCTGTGTGGACACAAATCTGATCCTTTCAAATCCGACCTGAGCCACTTTCATATGTGGTCCTAGATCGGATACATATTCGATTCTTGGCCATGTGACCTTAATGTGACGCTCAGATCGGAATTCATGTGCTTTTTTTCCACTGCGCCATCATTCAGTGTTACCATGGCAGCAGCGCCTAACAGAAGTTAAAGCCTGTAAACGGTGGAAAAGCAGCTCATCTCACCTTTTTCTCCTTCATCTCGATCTAATAATGAAGCTGAGAGCTGATCAGAGTTAATCATCTTCTCAGCGAAGCTCGTTCTGCTCGTTAGTTTGTGCTGATGATGAACGTGATTCATTCACGTGACGTTACTGAGTAGGATGTGCTCATGAGGGTCATTTCACTTCTACCCCCTTTCTCAGTCAGTCTTCCCTGATATTCCCACCACCATGTTAAAGGCATAGTCTGAACACACAAAAAGGATATTGTTTATATGAATATTTGTTTTTTTTGTTTTTCAAATATTGCAATACATATCACTGAAACTATGGAGGCAACACTGGCTATGCGGCTTACGCTGGGTGTGTTTTTTTCTTCAGGGTGGGGAGCACTGTTACTACCATGGGAAGGTGCGGGATATCCCGGAATCCTTTGTGGCGCTATCCACTTGCCACGGATTACAGTAAGTTTAGCTTTTGTGCACACACAGACACGTACACACCGCTGTGTCTGATCCACTCGTATCAGCACAACACACACTAACACACCACCACAGTCAGTGTCACTGCAGTGCTGAGAATGATCCACCACCCAAACAATACCTGCTCTGTGGTGGTCCTGTGGGGGTCCTGACCATTGAAGAACAGGGTAAAGGGGGCTAACAAAGTATGCAGAGAAACAGATGGACTACAGTCTGTAACTGTAGAACTACAAAGTGCACCTATATAGTAAGTGAGCTGATAAAATGGACAATGAGCGTAGAAACAAGGAGGTGCACTTCATGATGTGGTCAGTCAGTGTATACTGAACAGAAAATTACAGAGAAGCATCAACAACTAAATATAATATCATATTTTATCTGGTATTCACCATGTCCATGTCCATCCTTTATTACAGCTTCCATTTCGTTTTTTCAAAGGAATCTTTTTTCAGACCTCCAAAGTTCAGTCTTAGGCCCAATCCCATTTCTTCTTTTTACCCCTACCCCTTGTTTTCAAGTGTCACCCTAACCCCTTGGAACTGAGTTACCAGGGGTAGCGGTTGAAATCTTGCTCTACAAAATGGGACCCTAAAATTTAAAAAAGAAAACATCACTTCATTAACAGTTTCTAGCGCTGCTCTGTAGGCGACCCGGCCTGTCAGTGATAGCAGAGAAGTGAAAAGTTCAGCTCCTCACTGCTGGGCTTTAGTTACATTTAGGGCATCATATGCCTTCAAAGAGGGGGGGCAACTATTTATTATCACCCACTACTAATTCTTTGGTGATACAAAGCTGAAGTCAGATATTCACCAGCTTCTTGTTTCAGTTTTCCCGTTCCATCTTAAATGGTGCAGCAGTTACATTCTGATGCTTCAGACATCAGAACTGCTGGACTATTTAAGGCGGAACAAGACAGTTAGCTAGCTAGCTACCGAGACATTAGCATGCTATTAGCATTTTTTTAATGCTTGTTACGAAGAAAACGACCATAATACAAAAACCTCCGTTTTGAGGCCATGTAGCCCTAACACTTCGCCCTACCCCACTATCTCAACAAAAATTGGGACACCCTAACCCTAGACGTGACCACGCAAAACAGAGGGCTAAGGGCTAAGTGATAGGGGCGAGGGGTGAAATGGGATTGGACCTAAGAAGTTGTCTCTTCTGCTTCTCACCATCCAAATAATCCAGCACATTCACTGAGGGTGAGATCTGGACTCTGGGGTTGTTAGTCCACTGTTCTGAGACCACCAGCAGCTTCTTTTGTTTGATTTGCAAATTTTTTGCCCGTTGCCTTTTCTCAGTAATGGCTGCACATCCTTTCAGACCCACAACGCTGAGTTGTCTCCTCACAGTGGATGGACAGGAACATCTAGAACACCTGTGGATTTTTTCAGATCTGAAGCAAGAGTAGTTCTGTAGCCTCTGGCCTGTACTGAACTCCTATAAATGCAGCCGCAAGGAGGCAAAAGCACAAAATAATCCAAATCGCCTACAGGGTAAATCATGACAGTCGGTACGGTAGTTAATGTGCATCCAGATCTTCCACAGTAGCCAAGTCAGGACACACACACAGTGAGCCAGACTCATAAATAAAGGCATTCTGGAATGCAGCGGCGTCACGCTAAAGCAACCATTATCTCATTCAACAATTAGAGCTGTATAATTACTGCATGCTTCTTATCGTCTTATATAGTTTTAGTTCCGCTTTTAGCTTCCTCGAATGTGTGGGTGTGTGTTCTGTTTGTGTTGAGTGCCTAGGCTTGTCACAATTATTACATAATCACTTGATAACAATTACTTGAAATTGATCACAATTGTTTAATCTGACCGCAGTTATTTTCTGCAGTTGTTAGCTTTCACAGTCAGGTGTTTGCATTGCAACAAACAGAATGTGAATATGTGTCGTGAGTCTGTTGGGCTGAGAAAATGCATGTAAATAAAAACGCAGAATACACAGGCCCGAGTTGGGGGATATGGAAAGGCTTATTCATATTTTAGAAGGGCTCACTGATTGGTGGTGCTGATGGGTCATTCTACAGAAACGTCCATTTTTGTGTCCCTAGCGTTTACAGATATATTACACTTGAAAAACATGTTAGGGTTACAATTTATTTATATTTTAAAATAAAGCAATGTTATTTTAACAATTACACCTTCTTGAGCCTCAATTTAGCAATATTGGTTTTTAAACCAACTATCCAGAATTCCAAGCACCACAGAAGAGCTCATCCTCACAGTCATGTGTAAAGGGTGAGTGCAATATTTTGAAGTATAAAACATGTTTTTCTAAAATTTTAACTGCAATAATCTAAACATGACTATGGAATATATGATTTAAATGACATAAATAAAACAAATGCCAAATAAATATTATAAAATATATAATGAAAGTTCCCCAGGATTCGTGTCACTGGTGTTACTGTGTAACGAAAAATATCTTAACTTGAAATAAAATTCACACTGATGACATCACTCAACTTCCTTTTACCTATTTTCTGAGGATCTATGAAGAAAAGCTCATGGTGAGTCCACTGTGTCTTTCATTTAGCAGAAATTTTCTCATTTAGCTCATGATTGCATATTGCTGTTGTCGTAAGAAAACCTTGCGTCTCCAAAATGGTAACTTTACAGGAAAAGGAAAAAACCTACATTACTTTTAATGTAAGTCAATGGAACCAGACATTTTCCCAAGTCATTTTGGGCCATTTCTTTTGTTCCATTCATGATGAAATTTACATACAATGTAAAGGGTAGCAGGTATTTTCAAATTATGTCAAAAACTGAAAAACATCAAAAAACGATATACAAGGTTTTCTTCTGACAGCAGCGATATGAAGCTTTTAGCTGAAGTCACTGGTGTGACCGACTTTATTCTTAGGTAATTTTGAAAAAATAGAATACAAATGGATTAAATTACATATTTTAGTGGATATTCCATGATTGACAACATGTGGTTTGATGCTCTGTAGCAGAGATTTTGCAAAATCCATTTTTTATTAAAATGTCTCTGGTGTTCCCTTTCTTATCTGTAACACCAGTGACTCCTATGGACAGATAAAAAAGTGGACGTTTCTGTAGAATGATTCTGATAGAAAGAGGGGAAAATCAGAACTAGGAAAAAACTACTAAGCACAATAACAGCTTACGGATGACTAACCACCACAGAACACGTTCAATTTTGGTTTTAACTCCAACACAAGACACTCAACTTTGCGCTCTCAGATATCCTCTTAACAGGTGTCATTTTAGCATCAGTTAGCTGGAACCATGCCTGTGCTGTGGTGTGTGGAACGTTTAGTTTGCTAACTAATCTATCGTTAGCTTAGCCAAAACACTACAGTCTCAAACTCCACAGAACATGTTCAATTTTGGCTTTCCAGAGCAGCAGTTAGTTAGAATCAAACTTGTACTGTGGTGTGTGGCACTGTTTGGGTCTGTAGCATGCTCGCTAAGCTAACGTTAAGCTATTCCATCAGGCTACAGATCCAAACACCACCAAACAGGTTTAATGTCACCTTTCTGTCCTGTCAGCTGCATTTTCTAGGCTCCACTCCCTCAGATTTATCATCTAAACTTGAGTCAGTGCCTTAGTTAGCTGTAACTGAACAAGTTCTGAGGTGAGCAGAGCTGTTATCATGCTAGCTACACCAATGCTAACCAGCTCCTCTCAGCTAGTTAGCAGCACTGTTTAACATTTGCTAACTGGCAGATAAACAGTTTGACATTTATTGAATGATGGCTTGAAAATGCACCATTTTTGATGAGCATATAAGTGAATTAAACTTTGTGAGTATTTTCAATTTTAGAGCACCTTTGGTGGCAGCGGTGAATAATGTTTGTTTAATTTGAGCTCAAGCTGTGTCTGTCATCATTTGGGAGCCACTAACGACAGCTAGGAAACAGGACAGCCAGTTTGGCCAGTTATACTTTAACGGCTGCATACACACACACACATCATCTAAACCGCTTATCCTTCTGGATCGCAGTGGGGTGCTGGAGCCTATCCCAGCTGTCATTGGGCAAAAGGCAGGATACACCCTGGACAGGTCGCCAGTCCATCGCATTCACACACACACACCTAGGGGCAATTTAGCATGTCCAATTGGCTTGACTGCATGTTTTTGGACTGTGGGAGGAAACCCACACAGACACGGGGAGAACAGGCAAACTCCACACAGAAATGACCCTGGTCACCCGGCCGGGAATTGAACCCAGGCCATTTTTGCTGTGAGGCGACAGCGCTACCCACCGCGCCACTGTGCCGCCCCGGCTGCATATAGTTTCAAATTATTTTAGGCAATTAATCACAAAATGGCAATTAATTGTCAGTTAGAGTTCGTGACAGGCCTACTAGAGCCATAGAGCCATAACAATGGACTTTTTGACTTTCCAAGAAGGAGCATGGAATAGTTATGGGGGAACCAGGGGGCTTATTCCTTCTCAATTGCAAGCCAGCCCCCCTCCCCCAGATTTCTGACTGCTGTAAAATAAAACTGGCAATAAAAATTGTAATTCATTTAGTTCTCTTTTAATACAGGTTGAACCTGTTTTGAGTTCTTGCATCATTGTGCCTTTTTCCACATTAAACGTCTCCATAGATCACTAATTTTAGCGCCCGCTATCACCACATGGCTGCATGCTGTGTTAGTTCCTAGCTTCGACTACTACTTAGCTAGCTGGCTAATACTCAGCTAAGCTTTGTAAGTAGTAAACAACTCATCATAGACGTCTAGTCCTAGTGCTGTGAAAGGTAGGCCTCTGGTTTGCTTTCCTTTTTGCTGGTTATGGTAGCTACACTGATGTTGACTATTTGGTTGTTGTCGTGCTGTTGTTGGCTGGCCGGCTCATTTTCCAATAAAGTCCACAAATTTTTCAAAATGTCTCATTCAGAGTGGTTTGATGTAAAATGGTTCATGGTAGAGACACTTTAAACATCAGATTTCTTTTCAGTGGTAGTGATAGGGGGGCGCTAACGGAGC